ACTACCTCGAGGAGGGCTGCACGGACGTCGGGTCGGAGGACTACGACAGCGAGGCGATCGTTGCTCTCTCTCCCTTCCCTTCTCCTCCTCCTCCTCCTCCTCCTCTTCCTCCATCTCCTTATTTATCTCCTTATCCTTCGCCTTGCCAGCGGGGTTAGGAGGCCAGCTGGCTGCTTTGGCGTAGCACACGTCTGCACACCCGTTCTCAACTGCACGGGGGTACGGTGGGGGTGTCGGTTGAGGGCTGCGCCCAGGTCGCTTCAGGCCATGGACTCCTGATCCAATGGTTCAGCTCTGAGGCTCCTCCATAGTTTCGCCGAGCTCATCGCATGGAGGCGCCCGTTTCCGTGCCCTCAGCTATCTTCCCCCTCCAAGGTAACAGCACATCGTTCTCCTCCTCCAAGATCGCGCCGACCAGAAACAGATGCTTCGAGCGATCCCCCCGCCCGAGGATGGGAGTTGGGATGCCCAGGGAGCGCCGGGCTACTTGGGCCCTGGCGGCCGCGGTATGCGCAGCCGTCATGCGTCGAAGGACGCGAGGCGGGACATCCAGGCAGCACCTGGACCCTTGGGGCCCGGCGGCCGCGGCCCGGAGCCGAGTTTCCTCGCCCCAGGCCCCTTGTTGATGGTCCTGGAGCTCCTGGCATCGCTCGGACGTGTGCAGTTTTTCCTCGGCGAGGACCATGGAGGACCATCCTGGACCATCGAGCAAAAGAAACACGCACGAAACTGCAAAATGCACGGGAAATGGACGTCCGAGCGACGGCAGGAGCTCGGGCGGGTGGTAATGGGGGGTGACCTGGATGGGGGGGTGAACGAAAAGGCCCTACTAAAGGGGTTCTGAAGGGTGTCTTCTGGCGCCAGCAGGGGCCCTGAAGGGCCCCTTCAGGGCTCTTTTTTTTTCCACCCCCCATGTAGGTCACCCCCAGTACCACCCGCCCGAGGAGCCCGACGCCGGGCATCCAGTTGGACACATCGGCAGACTGCCATGCGTCCAGGAAGACGCGTATCCACCAAGCCATAACGGGCCCGGAAACCGAAATCGAGGACAAACGCCCGGATGGAAAAAGGTCGGAGATCGGTGTGGGCGCCGCCATGAGACGCAACTTCCTTGGCCGAGCCAGGAGGACGTCTGGACTCATCCTGTGCCCAGGACGATCTGGCCCAGGGTCGGTGAATATGCATGTTTCTCTTTTGGGCTACATGTAGGAGTGACTTTTCGCGGGAGTGACCTTGAGTGCGGGTGCAGGCACACTGGAGGCCCCCAGATGGCTGAGTGCGATGCGATAGCAACGGCTCCCGCGCTCGGGTGTGGCCCCCCGTGCACACCAACGGCTACTCTTGCCTAAGGTCGCTCTTGCGTGTAGCCGATACTATCTCCTCCAAGTGAGGCGATCGTCTCAGACACCACGGTCACCGAGGTGCACCGGGTCCTCCGGGAGCTTGAGGCCGCTGACGGGGTCCCCCCCGAGCGAGTGGTGCTCGGAGGCTTCTCCATGGGCGCCACCGCGGCCGCGGAGTGCGCGCTGCGGTGCTCTGCGGCCAATTTCGGAACTTACATCTGCGGGCACAGTCGACGCAGGGATATCTCCTCGTCCTCCTCGTCATCCTCCTACCCTTCGCGATTTGTGCTTCCTCCTCGTCTTCCTCCTCCTCCTCCTCCTCCTCCTCCTCCTCCTCCTCCTCGCCACTGCTCAAGACCGCTTGGGCCTGACCTCGGCGCGGTGGCGAGTGTGTTTTTTCCACCCTTCGCCTGCATAGCGTAACATACTTTCCTGAATGCTGAATTCTTCTTGCATGGCACGGACAGCCATCAGAGAGCTTGTCGCAGGAGGTTCGGCTGCTCCACGGAATGCCAATATATACGTATAATGCTGCACCGGGCCCGGGGGCCCTGGGGCCGCAGCCTCGACCACAAATGGGGGGACGTCGGGCCCAGCCCGCTCCCCGCCGGGCCCCAGGTCGGCCCCCGGAGCGCCCAGACGGCCGTCCAGGCGGCCCCATGCCGCCCACAGCCACCCTGAAGACAACCTCCAGCGGTCTCCGGCGGCTCAAGAGGCGTCTCGAACCGCCCCAGACGCCTCCAACACGCTCGCAGACCCCTCCAAGAGATCCGCCCAGACGGCCCCGGGAAGCAAAAATACTTCCGTTCCCTTCGTAAAACGTACATTTTTACTATAATCGATTTTTTGGCCTTCGAACCGTCCTCTACGACCTCCGACTCTCCCTAGACCGCCCCAAGACGGCCCACGAAGCCCACAAGAGAGCCGCAAGACGGCCCCAGAGGGGCCCAGGACAGTCCAAGATGCGCCCAGGACGGCCCAAACGCGTCCCCGAAGGGCCCCAAGAGGGGCCCAAGACGGGAAACCCAACTGAACCTTCCAGCCCCCCCGCCCCAGGAGGCCCCCAAGAGGCCCGTAAGAGACCCCCAAGAGGCCCCAAGAGGCCCCCAAGACGCCCGCGGCAGGCCCCAAAGGGCCTCCAGAGGCCCCCCAAGAGG